GTAGTAGTAGTAGTAGTAGTAGTAGTAGTAGTAGTAGTAGTAGTAGTCGTAGTGGTAGTGGTAGTGGTAGTGGGTACTGGTGCTGCAGCCCTCGTGTATAAGCAAATATTGAAGATACCCAGTACAGACGCTGGAGCCTCAGCGGATGCACAACAGGCATCGAGTCCCTGCCTGGTTCCGAGACCGTACTCCACGGCTAAGCTCCCGTGAGGCAGTCAGAGGGAAACCCGCAAAGGTTGACCAACACGTAGCAAACGCACCATCTGCGAGTAAGCCATTCCGGAGTAAGCCGGAAAGCATTTGGAGAGGAACCCACAAGCTTCGCAGCAACCCACAAGCTTCACGTCCAGCAACATGGCCAACAGCCAAACGAAGACCAATCACACAGGTTGTGCTAAACTGCCATAAAGGCGGAATGCACACCATGGGTGACCACTCCATCATCCATCACCCGCGGCATGTGCATTTGATGATGAAGTATAGGTGCCGCGGAGTGTAGTTGGTACCAAAAACCTACCCTCCCCGAAGGTGTACTGACAACTACGTCGAAGAGGAGCTTATTTTTGTCCAAGCCTATATACCGAGGAAGTGGGTTTGTGATTGAAACTGGGAGGAAAAATACAAACCAGAGTAGTTTCATCTCTACCCTCCTCAAAACCTCCTAAAAACTTAGAAATTGAAGGAGTTTGATAGACCACCTCTGGTAAAAGGAAGTCCTCATCCTCCAGCACCTTTACTTCCGGGCACCACATAAAGCCATGGCCGTTTGCAGCGACTAGTTACATCTACTACTTACTGCTTTGTCTTTCAGACATTAATTTTCCGACTCACGCCAAATCTCCTAACGGCTCAAGAAGCCGAAGCTGAAACAGCCAGGTGCTATTCTTTGATGAAAGAAGCGAATCAAACAGCATGCACCCTTGGACGAGGTACACTCCGTATCCATGGTTACGTGCATGGAAAGCGGCGATTTCGGATGACCATGAAATCCAAAGACCAAGCTTCCACCATGAGAATTCCAGGGAGTGTAATTCCCCAAACAGTGTGGTCACACTAGGGGTTCTTACGGTAGTGGTTAAGGGGTGGTGTTTAATCGAGGTGTTGCATCGGGGCCATCCGGCTAATTTGTTACTATTTACGATACATTCATGCCTCTTGAAATCCTCGAAGTGATACTTAGGTTCTCAAAAGCAGGTACACCAGGTTGATCAGACCTGGCTTCCCAGATGCAAGGTAGCTTTGTTAGGCGCCCCTTGCATCTGCTGCGCTGTTGAAAAAGTTCACAAGATGGAGCCCACGAACCCGAATGCAAACACGTTCGAACAGCTACATATATCCAAATGACACTCTTGTAGGACACTCTTGTGGGACACTCTTGTGGGTCACTCTTGTAGGGCACTCTTGTGGGACACTCTTATGGGACACTCTTGGGGGACACTCTTGTGGGACACTCTTGTGGGACACTCTAGTAGGAAACTCTTGTGGGACACTCTTGTGGGACACTCTTGTGGGACACTCTTGTGGGACACTCTAGTAGGAAACTCTTGTGGGACACTCTTGTGGGACACTCTTGTGGGACACTCCTGTGGGACACTCATTTGGGACACTCTTGTGGGACACTCTTGTGGGACACTCTTGT